TGTGTGTGTGTGTATATATATATATATATATATTTTTTATATATATATATATATATATATATATATATATATATATATATATATATATATATATATATAGTTGAAGTAAAAAAAAATATATATATATACATACACTCTCTGACTGCCACTGTGCACTGAAACATAATTGATGAATAATCTTTTGTATCTTTTAAAACACAATGTGTTCATGCATTTATTGTTCTGTTTTGCTATTTGATACTTTTTTTCATCCTGTGCATAAGCTGTCTGATGGATTCCAGTTCAGTGAGATGATGTGTGCATCTGAGGGAGTTGAGCTTGTGTTGTGGCAGACGTGTGTGTGTTGTACCTGTCTGAAAAACTCCTCCATGAGGGCTTGAGTCCAGCGGTAGTGCAGCTTCCAGCCCTTCGCAGGATGACTGATATCGGCCGCGTGCAGCATCAGAGACAACGCCTTAGCCTTGTCTATTCTGAGAGACACACGTTCAGCACAGAGTCACTTAAAATATAGTCAAATAAACCATGATGCATTAAAAATAACCCAGAAACTCACACCCGAACTTATACTCATAAACGTGTCTGTCTCTCTGTGTTGTTTTTTTCTGTTGATCATACATAATTCAGAAATGTTAACTACTTTGATTACAGCTTAACAAAAATGGTATTGGGGAAAAAAGAAGAAAGTTGTAGTCTACTAATACCCATGATTAAATATTTTTTTAATTTTAAATACAGATATAACATTCATTCAGTAATTTTCTTGTCGGCTTAGTCCCTTTATTAATCCGGGGTCCCCACAGCGGAATGAACCGCCAACTTATCCAGCAAGTTTTTACGCAGAGGATGCCCTTCCAGCCGCAACCCATCTCTGGGAAAACAGATATAACAAATGTATGTAATTACAAATGCACATTTCATGAAATCACACATTTGTGTGGATAAAACTACTTATGTTATACAGTGCTCAGCATATATAAGTGCACCCCCCACAAATCTCTCATTTAAATTCATATTTTCTATAGGCTGCTTTATTTTGCCTACATACAGCAACAAGCAGAGAACACTACAGTTTGACAAATATTGCTGCTGTTGGACAACATCATGTACTTTTGAGGCTTTTTATAGTCGAGAATGTAGCTGTTTAGATTTCAACTATGCAGTTTATTTATAAGGATAGTGCCTATTTTAAATGTAATCTTTGAGAGACAGCGCGTCAGCAGCTATTAGTCTGTCTTTGAGAAAAGATGGTTGACGACGTTCATGCACAAGATAAGGACAGAGACCGCATGATAGCTGTGTAATTTCAAACTATAGCTGATCAAATCATTATTAAACAGGTAAATCACTTTCTAAGTCGATCCCTCTCTTTTGTATGTTTTAGTGCAGTATTTATACCATTGTAATATTATGATCTTCCGATTGCAACAGAGAAATACTGGGAAATCTCTGTAGACTGATTGCATTTCATGCAGTTCAGCCTTATAATCTTAAAATTTCAGCAAAATCAGCTGTTTTGTCATCACTTTAGACATTACGCTAGAAAATCATTCAAACACTAGCTCTAAAGTGACGTTAGTGAATTAGCAACGGTTTCTACTGTTCTGGCCGTCAGCAGCAGATGTGAATGAATGGCAGAAGAAAGTAGTTCCTCTTGCAAGAGGGTTGGACTCTCCGTGTTTAATTTTCTTTTTTATTTACAGGATTATGCCTTCGAACTGTTGTATAAATCACTCAGCCAACGCATGCCTCCTACCAGTATTGATATACAGCCATATCACACTGCTACTCATGTCATATTGCTCATATATTCATTAGTTTAGTTTGTACTGAAGCCAAGTTTGGAGCTAATCTAACAAAATATCTTCTCATCAAAAACTAACAGCCCAAATTTATGTTAGGGAAAAATAATAAATAAAATCTTCAAAAATAGCAAAAATCAAAAGAAACAAAAAATAAATTAAATTTAGTTGAAATGCTGTAGTTTTTTTTTTTTTTTTTCAATTTTCAATTTTTTCAATTTTCAATTTTGTTTGAATTTAATTGTATTTTCTTTCCATTTCTTAAGATGTTCTGGGACTAAAATTGTTTTTTTTATAAATATATCTGTTTAATAAATCTGTTTTGTTCAAATGCACCAATATATACAGTATTAACCATATTCACTGAAATGGATAAAAATATTCATTTTTAAAATCGGGTGTACTGTATTACTGTATATAATGTTAAGGCACTTAAATTGAAACTTTTGTTTCCACAAAATAGATAATAATAATAATAATAATAATAAATTTTTCATCATCACCAAATCAACAAATAAGAAATATTTCTTATTTGTAATTATTTTAAAGAAGTATTATACTAAAGAAATAGAATAGAAACAAAAACAAAATGAAAATAGATACTTCAATGCAATAATATTTACTGTTTTTGCTGCATTTTTGATCATACATAAAAGTAAGTTTGGTGAGCATTAGGAATTTTCAAAAACACAGTTTTTAATGGTAATGAATATTTACCTTAAGATTGTATTTTCTAAAACTTTGGCACATAACGGAAAATTAATGCATGTTTGTATGCATGCAGGTTTTGAACAAAATGTGCTCAATGAAAAAAACAATATGCAAAAATAGGCAGTGGTGAAATTAGACATTAGCAGACATGTAAAAATAAACTAAAATGTTTTTAAGATGTTAAGAGTCTTAAAATAACTACTATTAAAAATAGAACAAAGGACTGCAGAGCAAAGCATTTATAATAATAGAGAATGAACTGTCATTTTTTCTCATAAACTGGGCGAAGAAAAAATCTTATTTTTGTCTGATTATCTTTATCTAAAAAATTATCTAAAAAAATCTCTGTCTACATGAAAAGACAAAAACCCAATGTTAAGGACACGCCGAACAAACAGGTGACTATAAAGGCCTTTTATGCTGGGTTGACACCAAGAGGGGAAATAAGTATCTGTGTAAGTAAACTGCATACAAGTCAATGCAATCAGAGAACAGAGACAGATTACCAATTAAAGGATTAAAATATTACAAAAATTATTATTTTCTAGCCTACATAAATATAAAAATCGCTGCCTCCATGTCTTCTTCATTACGGGGGTCTTTCTTCAGTTTATTCATGACAATTAGCATTTGTATAATGTTAATATTATTAGCAGTATTGTTTATCATATGCATATTTACATTTGTTTTAATAAAAACATGCTTAGATTTGTCCACCTGTCGGGTTTTGGACCAAATGGGGCTTACAGGGCGTGTGTTTGGATATAACTCAGTTTTTTGCCTATACTTCGTTATTATTGCTCATTTATTGGTTTGGTGGAAATAAGAACTGAATTTAGAAACAGTTTTGAAACAAATCTTTGCACTTAAACTTAAATATGTAGGCTAATGGATGTCTTCAGCGGAGTGCATACAACATAGTTTCCTTATCTACGAATCAGAAAAAGAGAAAGAAGCCAATTGGAGGAGGCTCATTCTTTATCCTTGGACTGCAGATGCTGTTTAACTGTTTTCTTGCCAGTAAAGCGTTCTATTTTTCCCATTACAAAGTCCGCAAAGTAAATAGCAAATGCACTATAGCATGACGCAACTGACTCCTTAAGGGAATGGGAGATGAGACTCTGATTGGTTTATTCTTAAAACACACCCATAACTCATTAAGAAAATAAGCACAACCCTTTTAGACCAATGGAGTGATTGCTTACAAGTGTTGAGTGCCGTGAAGGAGATCAGGATGGAAAGTTTTGTTTTGTGTTTACCTCAAAGTTAAAGTTGTTGCATGTCTGCCGGTTCCTGCCCGGTCTCAAAATGAGCGAGTTTGAGCCACTTGTACATGCAGGAAGTGTTCAGAAAAAACAAAACAGCAGCGAAGAACCTCAACACAGAGGAACATTAACACCTCAATACCCACTAGCGTTTCGGAAGTGTTAATGCAGACCAACAGAAACAGCTTGCAGAATTATAAACGCACAGCTTCGAACGTTGCATTCGCCGTGGGTTACGCCGGTTACTTGACGCAAAAGTATAAACCAGGCTTTAAAATAGCAAAAGTGGATTCAGACGTGCCCTTAATGCTTTGTGCCCTGTGCTTTAGACTGTGCGCCTATATCATTAAAATAGAGCCCTAGGTGTGAACCCAGCGTAATGACATCATGAGGCAAAAACCTCTAGTGGCCACATGACCACAATGTACCAGAAAAATTCAGAAAAAATCTACACCCTGGTCAGAGTTTTAAGACAGTTTTGGTTTCAATCACCTGATGCTGTGTTTTAGTGGGGACAAAAATGCGTAGAAAAAAAATGGTTTTCAAAATACCTGTCTTCATGTGTACAGGGCTTTAGGCCTGGGCCTTGGGTATTTTTATAAATGTGCTTCATACAAAAATGCAAAAACACACTGTGATGCATGTTAAGGGCACGCCAAACCAACAGGTGGCAATAATGAAACCTATGCTGGGTTCACGCCAAATGCGCAATTAGTATTTGTACGAGTAAATTGCATACAAGTCAATGCAAACAAGAGAAGAGCGGCGGATGGACAGTTTTTTAGCCAATTCTGTTGAAATGTTTATGTGCCTATTGTCAATTTCATTAGGATTTATTTACAGCATCGATGTTGTAATGTAACTAAGATACAATCAGTTGAATAGACTTAAGCATTCATCTAGTCGTTCAAGCGTAAAACAAGATGAAAGACAGTGTAAACCCCAGCGCAAAAACTCTATTGAAAATACCGGGGTAAAATAAATGTCCATATTTTAAAGACATAACGCAAAAAAGACAAAAAATGTAAATATATGCCGTGTTTCTTTAGGGTCTTAGTCTCATTCTGGAGTTTTGGTACTATGCAAGAAGCACGGCACATTTTGATAAAGCAGTCCCAGCATCAGATTTTCATTCTCAGTGTCACTCACCCCTCAGGCTGCTGCAGAGAGTTCCTCATGGTCTTGATCTGCTGGAAATGGCAGGACATATCAGTGCTCATGACCATCTCGATGACCAGCGTGCGCAGCTCCCTGTGGGAAACACAACACAGAGGCTCAGCAGGACTCAAAGCACAGCCTCTTTCTCAGAAGTCTGCCTCCATTCCTCTCGTTTCCACACCTCCAGTCATCTTTGGAGAGGTTGACCAGAATGTTCATCTCATCCTCCTGCATGAGTCTGTAGGCTGCGCTCACGTGGTGGTTTTCCAGAACCGAGCGGTCATTGTACAGGATGGCCACTTCTGATCTGTGCAAAAACAATCACAGAAGAGTCTTTTTAGACCTATTTATATCGGTGTAGTAGCTTTTAAAAGGTCCACAGAAAAAAAGTAAGTTTTACAAACCCCCAAAAAATTACTTGTTCAAACTACTTATTTAAAATCAGCTGAATCAACACAATGCTTAAGTTTTTTGAGGGACAACCTAATTGTTTATGTTTAATCTACTTATATTTGGTAAAAACAATTAAGTTATCTGTTCCCTAATATAGTAAAATATTAAGAGATCATTATATGGAGATGGATATACCATGAGTCTCAGAGACCATTGTTTACTCGTTATCAAGTACATTTCATGCAAAAGTGGACAACGGGTCAATCAGAAGACAAAAACTGTGACGAGACTCATGGGCCATGTCCTCCGCATTTACATCTATGACTACTTTAGGTCGTTCATCCGGACCTGACATCATCAAGAGAACGCAGACTCATGCAGGTCTGAGATTTCATATCATCACAACCAATGAAATGAGCAAAGCAACCCTAACACTTACACAATAAAAGCATCTAAATACATCTATAATTAAGTGAAAAAAGCTAAATTATTTTAAGAACACTAGTATCAGTTCTTAAAATAACAATTAAATAGGTTTTATTACATTTGTATTACTTTATTAGCCAAAGTAAAATATACTTGTAAGCATTGTTTTCTACATTGAATTGAGCACTACTAGACATTTTGATGTTTATTCTTGCCTGAAATTAATCTATTTTAAATTCATTTTTAAGAGAGAAAGAACGGAAAAAACACCTGAACTGAAAATATCTATACACATTTTACTATGTTATCATTTTACATCAGAATTATTAACTCTTTCTCAGTTACAAGAAAAAGATAATAGCAATAATGATTTAAAAATAAGTAAAAAAACATTTTAAAAAGTAAAAATTAATTAGTAATTTATTTAGTTAAATTTAAATAATGAATAACAGTTAATTAATTTAAAAATAATTAAGTAATTTATTAAGTTAAATTTGAATAATAAATAACAGTTAAGTAATAAAAAATTAAGTAATTTATTTAGTTAAATTTGAATAATAAATAACAGTTGGGTAATTAATAAATAAATAATGAATTTAGTTAAATTAGAAAAATAAAAAAAACAATTAAGAAATTAATAAATATTTAAGTCATGAATTTAGTTAAATTAGAATAATGAATAACAATTAAGTAATTAAAGACTAAATAAGTAATTTATTTAGTTAAATTAGAATAATGAATAACAATAAAGTAAATAATAAATAATTAAGTAATAATTTAGTTAAATTTCAATAAGGAATAACAATTAAATGATTAAAAAATCATTAATTAATTTAGGTAAATTAGAATAATGAATAACAATTAAGTATCAAAAATTATTAAGTAATTAATTTAGTTAAATTAGTACAATAAATTACAATTAAGTAAATAATACATAATTAAGTAATTAATTTACAATAAAGAATAACAAATAATTAATAAATAATTATTTAGTTAAATTATAATAATGAATAACAATTAAGTTATTAAGTAATTAATTTACTTAAATTATAATGATGAATGGCAAGCGATTAATAAGTTATAATTTATAAATAATTAATAAATAATTAAGTAATTAATTTGGTTAAATTAAAATAATTTATAACAATTAAGTAATTTATTTAGTAACATTAACTTAGTAATTTATTATTAGGTAAACAAAAAAAAAAATTAAAACAAGAAAAATGTATTAATAAAAAAAAAAACCTTTTTGCTTTCAAAATAATCTATAATGTATCCCCAAGAGTTTTAAAACTTGTCATCAGATTTTTTTATGTAGAAAATTGCATTTGTTTTTGTTCTGTAGCAGCATCATTTTCATCCCAGAATCCTTTTTAGCGCTGTATAATTTATTCACCTTTATGTCATTGCAAGTCTTTACCACTTTCTTTCTGTCTGTCACAGAACACAAAGGGTTCTTTATGAAAGCTTATTGTCACCAGGGGCTGTCAAGCTTCAAAAAGGACAAAAAGCACCGTAAAAATAACATTAAAGTAGATCATATGACTCATGCAGTACCTTTCAAGTCTTCTGAAGTTTTGTGTGGGTAAAATAATGAAATTTCAAAGTCATTTATGCTGAAAATATTGCCCTGAATTTTCTTCAAACTTGTCATGTGACGCACAAGAACACACTGCATTTGGCGCCATTGAAGTAAACCTACAGAGAGATCTACAAGAGAGATTTTTAAATTTAACAGCATCTGTGATCTTAGATACAATTGTTGTCTCAATTGCACAACTGCCACTGGGGTGGTAACCTAAGATACAAAAACTAAAAGGTTCATCTTTGTACCTCTTATACTCTTAAAGTCTGCGTAATATTAAAATTTACAATGTTTGTTTAGCTAGCTCACATCGTTATTCTTAAAAAATGAGGGATTAAATGAGAAGATCTGGCGAAATGTAAGTTTATTTGACAGAAATAAATAACAGAATAACAGAAAATCATAATGGAATTTAAATAAGTGAATCATGCTTCAGTTGGGTTGCAAAAATTAACTTTAAGAAATCTTTTAGGTCATGGTGAAGCTTTAACTGACTGAAACATGAGTGCTGACTACATATTTTAGATAGGTTTAGTCCAAACATGGGAGAATTGTCACGGAAGATCCGGTTCACAAAAAAATTCTGCACTTTCTATCACTACTGTGTATCTAACCCAAGAAGTAGCCCTGCACACATATTGGTTACTTAGGCCTGCTATCTTGTGGGCTGTTGTATTTAAATTTGAGAGTGAGTAGATGCTAGTGGTCATGTGTCTTCTGAATACAGGTTTCAGAAATATGTCTTTGGTTGAGTTATTATACAATATTCAGATGATTTTGAATCTTGCACCTATAACAAATATTCTAATTTCTAAAAAAAAAAAAAAAAAAAAAAAAAAAAAAAAAAGCTAAAGCTAATACTGACACTAATAAAAACTAAACTAAAACTAAGCAATTTCAAAATATAAAAACTAATAAAAACTAGTAAATCTGCCTCTAAAAACTAAAACTAACTGAATTTGAAAACAAACTAAATAAAAAGTAAAACTAATGAAAAATCCAAAACTATTATAACATTGTATCTTTGTGCATTGATGATGTTTAGCGTTATGAATTTAATGTTTTAATATTTTAAATGGTCACGCAGTAATACATTTTGCATTTTGCACACATTGCACCCTGTACAGAACACTATTTTAATCGAGTAGGGAACAACATTAATACCTATCATCTTCCATACCCATGTGTGTGGCGGTACTTTTCCCCTCTTTTCTCAAAAACTACTGATTTTTACTCCATTTCTAAGAAGCGTTTTCTGTACAAATTCTTAAAAATACATTTCTTTATAAGCCTTTGATTGAAAAACAACTAGCTACAATGACAACTTTTGTAATCTTCAATCAAAGTCTAACCATCTGCTTTTGTGTTTGTAGTGGCGATCCTTTTTATCAACCAGAGGGCTGCTATAGGAACTGTACATCAATAACCTTAACCATGCCCCTCTTACTGTTAGTTTGCTATGAGAGAATGAAGTGCAAATGAGAGCCCCTCTTCTCTACTCAATAATCTATTTTAGTTGGAAGTACATCAACTGAAATAAAGGTCTCAGCAACTTCTGGCTTATGTGGACTTTAAATTAGGCTCTGTGTTTGTATTTATGGCTTCATACCTTTATACAATATATTTATACTTCTATATTAAGCTAAAACAACACAATCGTTGTGTTTTTTGGGGGGTAATGACACACTTAATTAAAGCTCAATGCACTTACATTTCTAAAAACAAATAAGTTAACTTCCTTCATGTTGTCCCAACACAAATCGATTGTGTAAAACCCAGCATTTTTTGTGTACACTATAAAAAGTCAGAAAATTCTGGTTGTCTTAAATTTTGAAGCTGAATCATATTAACCTTTTGAGTCAATTGAACTTATGTTATGTTAAACTGACTTAAATCTGCTTGCATAACTTATAAAATTAAGTTAGAACATGATTAACTTAGTTTAATAATTAACAATGACCTAAAAACATATGCTGTCATGATTAATTGATCATATTTTTCTTTACAGAGTACTTATATGACCCATTTCCACTGTGAAGTATGGTTCAATACAGTACACATTCCAATGACAAAAGTCAATTTTTGGGCCATTTATTTACAACAGTAGGATACAAAAGAGTGGAGCTATAAACTCTAAATCTCCTCTGAAGCCTGTATTTTTAAGAGTATAATTACACCTGAATGGTAAACATTAGTACCTAAAAGGTTCAAATTTGCACTGTTAACGTTTGTACCTTCTTATGTAATTTAGTATTTTAATCAAAGTCTTGCTTATTCATAACTTAGCAGGTTAATAATGGTAGGTGTCAGTAAATTTCAATGAAATATTAAATTTATTCAGGGAGATACTGTCACTCTGAATAGCCTTTTATTTTTTGCTTACTGAACAAAGCAGCTTGGAATTCATTAAACAGTTGAGGTCGGTGCGTTTTTAAAACAAAATCTTTTTTTCTCTCACCAAAGCTGAATTTATTAAAGTTAAAATATAATAAATAAATGATTATTTCTGTGATGGCAAAGCTAAATTTCCTCAAGTGCCACATGATCCTTCAGAATAACGGTTTATTTTGGCTTCATTCATTCATTCATTTTCTTGTCAGCTTAGTCCCTTTATTAAACCGGGGTCGCAACAGCAGAATGAACCGCCAACTTATCCAGTAGGTTTTTACGCAGTGGATGCCCTTCCAGCCGCAACCCATCTCTGGGAAATAATTTTGGCTTCAATTAAATATAAATTTTCTCAAATTAATTTTCTTAAATACTTCCCAAACCCATGTGAGTTTTAAATGCTGATAATAAATACAAATGTATAATCAATATTTGATTAGAATTTTTTTATTAAATGAAATGAAATTATTAAGTCCAAATAATACTACATACCTCCCCAGACAAAAATGCTGGTTCTAAAACACAATTATAAATATAATATATATTTAATAAATAATACTTACTTGTATGTTAATGATTGAAAAAGTAATTTTTTTTTCCTTTCCATAACATTTATTTAATGTTTTAGGATGAATATTTTCCACAAGCATACAAGGCTGTGCTTAATATATTCAGAGATATTAATATAGTCCAGATGTAAATTGTATTAAATTAATATGGTCATTTTTTTATTTTATTTTATGCTTTATATGAATTATTAAGTTATATTAACTGAATTATATGCCCCATGAATTAAATTAAGTATTTGATCTTCAAGGCTTAATATCAAATTTAAAGACCAAAAACAAACAATGAGCAAATGAGTTTAATTAACACTGAAAAATGTTTCACTGACTTTATGTACAAAATTAAAATATTTCACATTTAATATATAACATGTTTTTAATAACTGTTTCTTTTTCAACAATGTAAGATTTAACATTTCATATCAATGTCCAAAACAAATGCTTCTAAATCATCACAGTTACACACATCTTTTCAGTTTCAGATTTCTTCTTCATTTTTTGTGGTGTGGCATTATTTAGTTAACTCTGATTGAGTGGTCTTTCTAGTCTTTCCCGCTGTCAATGGAGCAGTCTGGCGAAAGGACAAAGAAAGCTGATCCTGACTGGTCCTCATGCGTGCATTTGAAATGTTGATTGGCTCACAGAAAGAACCTTATTTAGTCAAGCCAGAGTTTGACTTTGAAGATAAAACCTATTTTGTTTTTTTTAAATAAAAAGTCCCAAAATATAAACACCTTGTAAACAAAAACACTGCATGATGTAAATAAGTTGTCATTTAATACGAATATGTGAATAACTCAACTTTGACAAAAATGGAACCTTATAATTCTAAATTGACAAAATGTCAAACTGCTTTATTTCATAAACACTAAAACAATTATTTATTTATTTATTTATTTATTTATTTATTTATTTATTTATTTTTACAGCATTGTTATTATATGTATTTTTTTCTCCTAGTGGATTTAATTGGCTGGTAATTAAAAGTATTTTTTGAATGTAAAATAGCAAAGGTCAATATTATTTGCAACTAGAAATGCTTTTTTTTATTTCTTTGAATCAAGATGATACTGTCAAAATGAACACTGCTGTAAATGTGAACGAGACAAAGTAACAACATCAAGTGCAGATTGTGACATTGATTCTGCTACTGAAGATGAATTTAAAACCAGATAAATTCTTCTCCAGGAGGAAGATAAACAGTGATGGACAGCAAGCGGTGGATTTTCTCTGTCTATTAAACAGTATGCCGTATGCATACACTCATTCTCTTTGGCTCTCACACTAGGCTCTGGTCCAAACCCTACCGAGTGGCCTACGTAGGCAGCATTTTAATGCATCACAGACATGCTCCAGATGAAAACTGTGCTCTTCCAAATGGTAGGAAGCATCATTGTGCTAAGATGATAACCTTATGTGGCCAATTTATATATACTATATATATATGCATCTTCTTCAGTGAAAAAGCACTGAAAATGCAACAAGCTAACATTGAAAACTATTCAATTTTCCATATCAAAACATAAAAAATGTAGATTATGAATTTATAATTAATAAATGAAAATATAATCCATATCTAAAACATATAAAAATTTGTGTATTTTTATATAATTAGTAAATTATTAAACGCAAATAATAATACAAAATTCCATCCAAGATAAAAATGGTGGTTCTAAATATTAAATTTAAATACAAATATAAAAAGTATTTTATAAATATTAGCATAAGTACAATAGGTATGCATAAGTACGAAAGTTATAAATGTTCTTTACATATTGATAGATGTACATGCTTCCATAAAAGTTATATTATTAATTATTAAAATTAATATAACTATTCATAAATCATGAATATCTTAAATGTAAATGTACAAAATGATGCAAAAAATATATCAAATTTATATTAAATATTAATAGATTCAATAAAAACATGCTTGCTTTAGTAAAAATAAATATTTTAAACAGCAAAATGCTGATTACAATAATAATACAATTTATATATATATATATATATATTTTATGAACATTTATAAATACCAAATTATTATTATAAATGAAATATAAAAATAAACAGTACATGTTAATAAAAACATTTACTACTAATGATAATCATTATTATTAATGCAACATGTGTACATTTAAACAAATAAATAAATAAATAAAGTATAAAAATAAATAAATAAACAAAACAAAATAAAACAAAATTAAATAAAATTAAATAATAAAATTAAATAAAATAAAATGAATAAAATATGATAAAATAATAAATCAAAATAAAATGAATTGAAATAAAATAAAATAAAATGAAGTAAAATACAAAAATAAAATACAAATATAAAATAAAATAAAATGAAATAATAAAATAAAATAACCAATAAAAAAAATGAAATGAAGTAAAATACAAAAAATAAAACAAAAAATACTAAAGTAAAATAAATAAATAAAACGAAATAATAAATAAATGAAAATAATATATATATATATATATATATAATAATAAAATAAAATTGCAAAAGTACAAATACTGATTTGCTGTCTATATCATGAAGTGTGCTGTTAAATTTGTTTTTCTGAAAACTTCAAATTCAAACAGGCAGAATCTTTCCTTTTTATTCTATTTTGAACACTTGATTGAGCCCATTGAAGATGATCACAAACCTGGTCTGGATGTGGAAGTTATTGGTTGTTCCAGTGTGTTCAAAGTCGTGAATGGCAGCAGCAAACACCATGGCCAATATTTCCAGTTCAGTGAGCCAGTGCTGCGGAAGAGCGAATCAAATAATCAACATTACAACAACTCAAGATTGTTCAAACGCATTTCATAACAGCTGCGCATATTAACCTGCAAGTTAAGAGCTCGAGCGTTCAGCAGACAGATGTCAAATTTGTTGTCAGTGCGAGACATGCATGCGGAATCACATCATAATCAAATCAGTTTCCACAACAATATTAAAGGTACTAATGATTTCTGAATGATTACCTTATTTATTAACATTGAATCTATCCTACGTTTAAACAAAAACATCTCAGTTCTTTATATTTAAGTTAAATAATTAATTTATTTAATTTATTAAATAATTAATTTAATTGATTAAATATTTTGAAATATTAATTATGGATAGTAGAAATATTATCATTATTATTATTCATTCATTCATTTTCTTTTCGGCTTAGTGCCTTTATTTATCTGCGGTCGCCACAGCGGAATGAACCGCCAACTTATGCAGCATATGTATTATGAAGCGGATGCCCTTCCAGCTGCAACCCATGACTGGAAAACATCCATACACACTCATTCACACACATACACTACAGACAATTTAGCTTACCCAATTCACCTATAGCGCATATCTTTGGACTTGTGGGGGAAACCAGAGCACCCGGAGGAAACCCACGCGAACACAGGCAGAACATGCAAACTGCACACAGAAATGCCAACTGACCCAGCCGAGGCTTTTATTATTATTATTATTGTCATTATCATCATCATCATGATGGCGTGGATTTTCATACATATACAATACATATCCTTTCTTATGTCTTTATGATTATTAATAGTGTCATCCTACTTCAGAGTAAAACTAGAATAATATGTGTGTGATTACATTTCTGTATGCCTAATGATTTGTTTCCTCAAGATCTACCCAGCCATGGAGACCTCTTGAGTGGACCTGAGTTCTTGAAGAATTAGAAACAACTTTTTCCTGAGTTATTTGCCATCTTATGTGTTAAATCTTTTCTTTGTTGGTAAGCTGCTAGTTTGGATGTAGATTGTACTAGTTTTTAACCAGTTTTGGTAAGATAAAAGATACACTGACCGTGTGTGTTCTATTCCTTTGTGGATCATTTCACAGGTCAGGGGTCAGTTCTAAACAGTCTAGTGGCTGCCTGACGTTTACATGCATGAGATATTGAGATATCATATAGAATTGTAGGCATGCACACACATGGAAATGTTCTTAGTCAATCTGTGTTTTAGCCAATAAGGTTAAAACATATATGTATGACGCAGTTAATGATGTTATGTGAGAGTATAACTGCCTTGTGGTTGTAAGCAGAGCGGCCTACGAACTCATTGCGAGTGTTGATCCTTCATGGCTCCTGCTGACGAAACTGCAAACTATCTCAAGTAAACTTTCGTTTTTAATTGAATCTATGACCCCGGCTCTTCTTCATCTGACAGACTGGTCATTTTGGGGTTAAAACTGTACATTTTCCAACAATCATCATCATTACTATTATTATTAATTTTCTTTTCAGCTTGGTCCCTTTATTAATCTGGGGTCGCCACAGGGGAATGAACCGCCAACTTATCCAGCACATGTTAAATGCAGTGGATGCCCTTCCAGCTGTAACCCATCACTAGGAAACATCCATGCACACTCATTCAAACACATACACTACGGACAATTTAGCTCACCCAATTTACCTACAGCTTTGAACTGTGTGGGAAACCGGAGCACACGGAGGAAACCCACGGGAACACGGGAAGAACATGCAAATCTGCACAGAAATGCCAACTGACCCAGCCAGGGCTCGAACCAGCGACCTTCTTGCTGTGAGGCAATTGTACTACCCACTGCGCCACCGTGATGCCCTATTCATATTATTATTATTATTATTATTATTATTATTATTATTATTAATAATAAATAATAATAATGATGATAATAATAATAATAATAATAATAATAAAAATGTTTATACTCTTGATAAAAAACTACTTGACATTTAATAAAATAAAATAATTGTTCAGTCCAAAATGTATTTATAAAAATGTATTTATACAATTATTATTATTAATAGTATTAATACTGTTATTATTATTATTATTATAAATACATAAATAAATAAATAAATATTATAATTATGACAATAATAAATAATAATAATAATAATAATAATAATAAAAAATAAATAAATAATAATAATAATAATAATAGAATCATGGAATCATAGTAAAAACGATTCATGTAAAACTGCTAAGGTCAATATTATTAGCCTCCTTAAATCTACTATTTTTTGACTGGCTATAGAACAACCCCTGTTGTCCAATGACTTGCCTAATTAACAGAATAACCTAGTTAAACCTTTAAATGACACTTTAAGCAGAATATTAATATCCTGCAAAATAGCCAAAAAATATTATGTATTTTTATCATGGCAAAGACAAAAGAATTAATCTTTAAAAATGTGTTTAAAAAATCATGCTCCATTAACCAGAAGAAAAATACTCAAAATATATCAGGAGGGATAATCCTTTTAACAACAAAAACAACAATAAATAAGAGTAGAAATATTCAACAAATCAACAAATACAAGAAGCAATTCAATTTAATTTGATATTTCCAACATATATTATTTATTCTGCTCACCATAACGCCAGTGTGCAGCATCAGATAATGTGCCGTCTGTGTGACGTCAGCCGCGTGGATCAGGTTATGATAAGGGTTTCTGTGTTTGCTGTAGCCGATTTCCAGAGCTTCCACAAAGGACACCAACGAGGACACTGGTATCTGCACACAGGAGGACAATCACTGGTGAAACTAGAGAACTGTTCACTTTTTTACACTAAGACAGAAAAGATTTCACAGACAAGTCCACTGAAATCTACTCTATTCAATTTGATAGACTTTAATTTAAGTTATAATAGTTTACTCCATCATTATATTTCACTCAATAATGTAATCATAACACAGTTTTTTGTTTGTTTGTTTGCTTTGTTTAGTTTATCTCTCTCTCTTCTTTTTGGCATGAAAACATTGTCAGAACATTTCAGTAAGTTATCTTTAAAACTGTTTCAACAGTTCACACTTATTTGATGATTGATAAGTAAAAAATGTGTTTGGCATGCTGTCCTGAGCTCGGAGGAACCTTAAGCCCAGTGCTCCCTATACCGTTAGGTCATGCGAGAAAGAAATCTGAGCTCAGGTAGATCTTTAGAGCTCCCCTGTTTAAGCTAGGAAAGAGGGGAAGGAATCGGTAATATAAGGGGATTCTTCAAGACGAAGATGGTTAGGGTAAAAAGATCTGTCTATTTATGTGTGCTTGGATTCGTCTGATCGGTATATCATGTGTAAGCTAATGTGGGGCCAGCCACGGTCAATCATAAGCACATGATCCTCTCGAAATTAGTTTATGAATAAACTTTATTTAACATTTGGAATAAAATAAATAAATAAACAAATAAATAAACAAATAAATAAATAATTAAATAAATAAACAAACAAATAAACAAATAAATAAATAAATGAATTAACAAACAAACAAACAAACAAATAAATAAATAAAAAACAAACAAACAAACAACCAAACAAATAAATAAATGAATAAATGAATAAATAAAAAACAAACAAATAAACAAACAAAAAAACAAACAAACAAATAAATAAATAAATATGTATTTATTTATTTGTCTATTTCTTGAATTTTTCTATTTAATTATTTATATGTTTTGCATTGAAATAAATAAACAAATACACAAATAAATAAATAAATAAATAAATAAATAAATAAATAAATAAATAAAAAATAATAGATACAAATTTAAATATAAATACATGTTGTAAAACTTGACTCTAATCCTACAGAAATCAATGTCGTTGTTACTAATAAAATGTCAAAATAGATCAATAGTTTACTTTACACAGTAATAAAAATTATAAATCATCCATAAAAACAAGTAACAAGTAGAAACAAGCAGTTTCTTATTTTCCCCATAACGCTGTTTAACTACGATAAATTTTATAATTAAAGCGATCTTATAAAAAATAAATGCAAACTATTGCTAAACTCAAAAACTGCACATCATCTGCATAATAATAAAAACAATATCAATTTAGTCCAACATAAATACCACAGTGTGAAAAAAAATGTAATGTTCATTTATTTTGGTAAATACCACTCCACAATATGTTTTAGGTTTGAGGTTTCCAGCTTTCTTCAGAATATCTCCATTTGTGTCCACCAGAAAAACGAAAGTTAAAAAGGTTTGGAACAAGTGAAGGGTGAGTAAATTATGACACAATTTTCATTTATGGGTGAACCATCCCTTTCAGTATTACGTTTATGCAAAATAATAACACTTCCAGCATTCTAGATCACCTTTAAAGTGATTGACCATTATTTGCTCGCCCTCAAGTGGTGTCAAACCCAATTTTATTTCTTCTGTTGAACACAAAAGAAGATAATTTGGAGAAAGATATAAACCTAAAACATTCACTTCTATAGTATTTCTTTCAATATGGAAATCAATAATTACAGATTTCCAGCTTTCTTCAAAATATCTTCTTTTGTGTTCAACAGAAGAAAGTTAAATGCGTTTAAAAACAAGTAAAGGGTGAGTAAATTATCACTCAATATTTATTTTTGTGTGAACAACCCCTTTAAAGAGCTCAGCTGTTTTTAATACAAATTTTGACTTTCAACCCTACAAGAAACACCCTCAATCTGCAGTCATAGGCCTTTAAATTTCCTCCAAAGCAGAATAATAGAGCGTTTTTCTAGCTTCCCATGAGAAAACAGCTTGCATGAGTGTAATATTCCTGTGTAATGACATGAAGAGAGCAGAGGCTCCAGACCAAACCACCTAAACCCAAACACAGGCCACATCTATCAGCCACATTTACAGCGCAATGATGAGGCTCTGCGTGTGTGATTTCAGAGTCTGTCGTCACTGCACTTGTGAACAGAGGATGAAGTGATGAGATCTGACACACTGGAGAAAAACACAGACAGAGAGCAGATGGAAAAACTCAGACGCCTCGTATCACATCTATATCACATATACATGTGGGCAAAAACATGCATTCTTCGGATACAACGTCAGATTTGGGTGAAACATGGATTAGGTGTGAATGCAAAAATATGAAATCATAATATATAATATAATATGAATAATATTTTTAATTAAAAAAAAAGAATAAAAAACATAACATTTACATAAAAATAAGCTTTCATTTGGTTTTAAATCTGTGTGATTTTCTTTATTAACTTTCATTTGGGTTTATTTCTGTGGGATTTTCACACAGTTGAGATCAGAATTATTAGCCCCCTTTGATTTTATTTATTTATTTATAAAAAAATTTATATTTCCCAGTTGATGTTTAACAGAGCAAGGAAATTTTCACAGTATGTCTAATAATATTTTTTTCTTCTGTAGAAAGTCTTATTTGTTCTTATTTTGTCTACAGAAAAACCATCACTATACAATAACTTGCCTAATTAACCTAACCTGCCTAGTTAACTTAATTGACCTAGTTAAGCCTTTAAATGTCACTTTAAACTGTATAGAAGTGTCTTGAAAAATATCTAGTCAAATATTATTTACAGCCATCATGGCAAAGATAAAATAAATCAGTTATTAGAAATTAGTTATTAAAACTATTATGTTTAGAAATGTGTTGAAGTAAATTTTCTCTCCATTAAACAAAAATTGGGGAAAAAAATAACAGGGGGGGCTAATAAATCAGGGGATTTAATAATTCTGACTGAAAAAAGAATACTTAAAAAATGCTCAGTTTCTCTGGATTTCCTGTATTTTTTTAATGCAAGGCACTCTGAGTGCAAAGCATTAATTGATCATACTAAATTTTATTTAATGTAATCAAGAACCCCAAAACTAGTCATGGGTATCTTTTTTTTTAATTGAGACTCATACTTTGCATGAAAGCTGAACAAATAAGCTTCATATTGATATATACTTTGTTAATAGTGGGCAGTATTTTCAAGTTACTACTCAAAAGTTCAGATGCAAAAGCATTTAACTTTAACTTATCTTTTAAAAAATTGCATATTTCGCAGCCTCTTGTGTGTAGGTTCAGTAGTTGCACTTTTAGTGATGTTTTATAAACAAATTTCAGGAGGAGCATGAGCAGATGTTTCAGCAATTCTAATACATCATTGACAATCATTCTACTATCCAATCAGCATTAGACCAAACCCCTATAAATACCAAAAGTTGTCCTAACTGCACCACTTTAATATCCCTCCACCTCCCCGACACCTCACCTCATAAACATGATCTACCTAAGGGGAGTGAGCTAGACACTTCATTCGAACATCCAACGTCTCTTTTTTTTTTCCTGATAAGGGGAATAACACGAGTTGGGGTGTCTTTCCTGAGCTCAGAGCCCTCTCCCTGGACAGCATGACAAATACGCTTTATTCTTAAAACATCTGTAATTGTGAACTCGTGAATGGCAAATAATAGTTTGTTTTTATTGTCTTTTAAGTGAAATAACTCAAAATAAGCATAGGAGGCTAAGAAAAAAACTGATTTAGAAGAAAAATTCAGTCAGAACTAAGAGGAGGTTGTATCTAAAAACTTTAACTATTTGAAAATCTGGAATCTGAGGTAAAAAAACAACAACAAACAAACAAACAGAGAAAATCATCTTTAAATGTGTCTATATAAAGTACTTAGCAATGCCCATCACTAATCAAAAATTAGTTTTGATTAAATAAAAAAATCTGAGGTTGTATATATTTGCAGATGGACATCATAATAAAGCATAAGCTTTATTTCAAGAGTTCCCACTTAGATTTGCTTAGCATTTATAGCAGGTTTGGCATGCTGTCCCGGGAGAGAACCCTAAGCTCGGAGATATTTGAGCCCAGGGCTCCCGCCCGGTCAATAAGCATATCATGGGATCTGAGATTAGGTATGTCTTGATAGCTCCCCCTTCAGAAAAGGGAGGAAAAGGAGGAGATGGGGTGGAAGGGGGGATTCTTCCAAAACGAAGATGGTCACACTTTACAAAAAGGTTCATTAGTTAATGTTAATTAATGCTTTTACTAACATGAACAAACAATGAACATTTACTACTGTATTTGTTCATGTTAGTTAACGTTAGTTAATGAAAATACTGAAGTTCATTGTTAGTTCATGTCAACTCATGGTGCATTAACAAGCATGGACTTGGATGTTAATAATGCATTAGTAAATGTTTAATTATAATTAATAAATGCTGTAAAAGTGTTGTTCATGATTGGTTCATGTTAGTAAATGCATAACTTAATGAACCTTATTGTAAAGTGTTACCACGAAGATAGAGCAGTAAGGAGAAAATGATCCATTTATAGTAAGCTAGGATCTGATTGGATTATTACTAATTACAGATGACTGGCCAGCAGTGCTCAATCATATCACGTGCTCCTCTCGAAATTAGTTTATGAAACTTCACTTAAAATTCGAACATTTTTGGCATTAAAAAATTTCTTAATTTTTAACCAATACAATGTATTTTTGACTATTGCCAAAGTGCAACATAAGACTGGTTTTGTATTTCAGGTCATGTATATTAATTGATTAGAAAATGTTTATTGCTTACAAATATACATTACAACCCACAGTAGTGGCTTGACAGATACTGGCCAAGCCTGTATAACTCCAGAAGACTTGTATTTCATATAGGCTGCATTTATTTTTGTTATGCCTCCATTGTGCTCCTTTTGAAGCTTGAAAGCTCTTAAATCCACTCTGAGAATGAAAAAGGGGACCTATAGGGTTGAAATGACATGAGGGCGGGTAAATGACAGATGGAGTTTTGTTCAGTGGCAGTGTGTGAGTTTCTCTACGGGTCACAGTTTTGTTGTGTCTGGTTTCTGCGGTCTCTCGTACCCTGAAGCGGCTGATCAGGTCATATCTGGTGAGGAGTTCATAGACCAGAAACTTCAGAGCGTGATCACTGCTCGCCTCCTGGAGCTTGAAGACGTCAAACGACCATTTATCAACATCCTGAAAAAAGGAAACACACTGTAAACTGATGGCTTTATGGAAAGATGCTGCAGGTGAAGAGGGTAAACAAAGTAACTAATATTTATCACCATACTTCCCCATTTGATTGAGAAGATTAAGAATTACAGGCACTATATGTACTGTAGGTTTTCTGAAATGTTGTTTAAATATGCAAATAAGGGATTATTTCATTAAATATGGACAAATTTGTATAATTTTTCAGAACAGACATTTGAGCATTATATGAAGTCAAGTTCAGATCTTGTTCTATTTGTTAAACACATTCACTTCAAAAGTTTTATAGTTGAGATCTCTTTTATCCCTTCTTAATTCTTAAAGTCTGCATGAACTGAAGTTGCTGAGACATTTATTTCAGTATGTTATTATACTTCCAACTGAAATGGAATATTGAGTAGGGAGGTGGTTTCTTTTGCACATCATTCCCTCATAGCAAACTAACGGTGAGAAAGGATGTTAATATACATTTACTACAATTTTTTTTTCTGTGGATTAGCATGCATGGATAAATTATTCACCTCCAGAATACTAATGTGAGCTAACAAAATAAACAGTCGATTTTGATTTCACAAAATTTAAAAATACTGTGAATAGCCAGAAAAATCTAACAAACTTTGGTAGCACTTTAATTGAAGGGGGTGTTCACAATTTTAATTTGATTGAGATTTTGTGCATATATATGACCAATGTCATTAGGGGCATTTGCTCATTTATGCTATTGTAAATGCAACAATTACAGCATTTGAGATGACTTTGTTATGACTACCTGTGATAAACAAATACATAACGTGTCTTTGTCTTGACACCTTGACATTTAAAAAAAAAAAACAATGTGCTATTAATTTTAGAACAGCATCATTCATATTTATCTACAGTGTCATTAAAATCACTATATAGTATGACTATTTGTCATTAAAATGCAGTTAATTGTCATGAAATATTAATGACCCTGTTGTAAAATTATTTCACAGATGATTGATATTTTCTATGTGAAATTTTAATTACAAATTCAGTTTGTTACACTAAAGAAAAGTGCTGAGAAAAAAACTCTATAACAATTAAAACGTTCTCATAACAATTATGTTTATGACAGATTTATGACAAGTTATGTTGACTTGGTAATGTCAATATGTCATGACAAAGACAGGATGTTATGTATATGTTTATGTCAAGTTGTCTTAAAGGCAACTCAAACAATGGGCCCTATCATACTTCTGGCGCAATAGGGCCCAAAACGTGTTTGCCCTGACGTGTTGCTATTTTCAGACCAGTGCAACCTTAATTTTCCCATTTTCCGCCACGGTGGTTAAATAGCAAATCCATTTGCACTCCTTTGTGGACTCATGGCTGTTCTAGTTTAGAAAAGAGGTGTGTTGAGGCAAATTGTTGGTGCGTTGCTATTTTGAGGAACTAAAATTGACTATATAAATATTAGTTGTGCGCCTCGCTTACACATTGCTTAATACACGCAAGGTGAACAGCAATACACAAGTATCTTTACAAAATAAAAAGAATTAAAGGATTACAATTTTTTTTTTGTTTATTCATGACAATTTGCTTTTGTGTCATGTTATAATTATTAGCAGTATTATTTATAATATGCATATTTATATTTGTTTTACTAAAAACAAGCTGTTTTTAGTAAAACTGTTCGTTATTATTGTTCATTTATTCGTTTGCTGGAAATTAAAACTGAATATAGAAATAGTTTTAAAAAATGTTATTTTGTTTGTATTTAAAAAATGCGACGCAACTGACTCTTAAAGGGAATGGGAAATGACACAGATTGGTTTATTCTCAAAACACAACTATAACTCATTAGGAGAACAAGTTCAACCCTGTTAGACCATGTGCCGTGGTGCAGAACATATTTTTTAGTCATTAAAATAGCAAAAGTGAATTCAGACACTTAATGCTTTTGCGCCCTGTGCTTTAGACTTTGCACCTAGATCGTTAAAATAAAAGCCAATGTCTTCGTTGCATTTAAAATGACTTAACTGAGTGAATGACACTTAACGACAGCTGGTGTACAAGCATGCATAAATCTCATTCATATTCATATTCATGACATGTTTTACATAGGGCTTATAAACATCCCTTCAAGTAAAGAGTGTTCACCAATTTTCACCATTTTGTAGATAAATTTATATAATGATTTATATAATGATGTATATTATTTAAAACCAATAATTCTGTTTAAAACTAAAAAACTGCTTAGTGAAAATTTAAGGTTTAGTGCAGTAGAAAAATTATTATTTTTTTTTTTTAAATTAAAAGGCTTTATGTATATTTCAACTGACATCTACAGATCATAATTGGAAAAATTACATTAGAAACATTTTAAAGTGTATTTTGGATGTTTTCTTTACATAAGATTAAAAAAAAACACTTTCTAAAAAAAGACTAAAAAAGCCAAATTCTAAAATTATACAAAGGTGAATAAAAACACAGACTTACTGAAGTCTAAAACTAAAGTCATTTTATCATGTACTGCGAAGATAATCTGTACCTTTAGAGCAGTAATTACAGATGGCGGATAGGTCAACCCTGCCATGTTGGATGTTCTTCTGTACATTCTGCAAAGACACAAACATTCACAAGTCTTTTTCTCTAACATAGTGACAGATGAAGTTTATTTTTAACAAGGTAAGCAATGAAGACAAATGTGATGCATCTACATGTTGACTAAACTTTCGAAAATCTGCCTCCCTGAAGTCTTGAGCACATTTGTGTGGAAACACTTTTAATCAGATCAAAGAATAAGCAGGACAGAACTCTTAAACCTTCCTTTTAAATGAGACTGGAAAAGCACACTAAAACATACAAAAATTTTCATATATACACAGTTTGACTAAAAATCTAATTTTCATAATATTTTAACTGATTAAATTTATTTAATCAGCGAATATTTGGTATTATTCATAATAATCAAAATTTTAACAGAATGTATTATAATATTAATTATTATTATTAATAATATATATATATATATATATATATATATATATATATATATATATATATATATATATATATATATATATATATACATATATATACATACATACATACATACATACATACATACATACATACATACATACATACATACATACAACAGTTCTGTCTGGTTCTTGAATCTGACTGGCTGTGGCCATGCAATATTCTGCAATATCAGCACTAGTACAGCCTCTTAACCCTTGTCTATTACTCTGATAACCTAGAGTGACAGCAGATCAATAAACTGACTACAGTTTGACAAATATTGCAGCTGTTAAACAACATAATGTACTTTTGGGGGTTTTTTGTCGAGAATTTGAGAGAATTGTTTAGATTGCAAAAATGTCGTTTATTTATAAGGATAGTGCCTATTTTAAAAATGTATCATTTCGGATTTAGCACATCAGCGGCCATCAGCCTGTCACTAAGCAGAGCAAAGACAGCTGACGCTTTTCCACAAGATGGTGACAGAGACCGCATAGCAAGTCTTAGAGGTGAAAAAATTCAGCACAAAATTTCAAACTACAGCTGATCAAATTGTTATTAAACTGGTAAGTGAAAATCGAGGTAACTCTCTTTTGTATGTTGTAGTTCGGTATTTATACTATAGTAATCTGGTAGTGTTTGCTTTGCTTTGTTTTTTTTTTTTTTTTTGTGGTTAATTATTGCGATCTCCCATCTGCAACAGAGAAATACTGGGAAACCTCTGTAGACTGATGGCAATTCATGCCGTTCAGCCGTATAATCTTACAATATGAGCAAAATCACCTGTTTTTTCATCACTTAAGACATTATGTCAGAGCAGTGGGCCTCATCAATCCTGCAGGTGGGTCGCGAGAAAGCTTAAAATTAACTTAATTATATAAATAATTATTTATATAAACACTAAATAAATTTATATAAATATTAAATAAATTATTATTTGATTTCATTATTAAATATGTTTTGAATAAAAATGATTGGTGTATTGGCATTTCCCATTTTCTGTTATTGATTACTTGAGACTGTAAAATACAGACTTAACTGTGGCTGCACTTCCAACCACTGCCAGTCAACTAGGACTACATGCTCAGCTATATAAAGAAAAGCATCACGCAAATGTGAAGGTAACAATGATTAGTTATGAACAGTTTGCGCGCTCCTCGCGTCTGCGACTCGCATCAGAGTCGCACCTCTCTGTTGATTCACAAACTATGCATGCCCTCTTTGTGTTAACTCTTTAAAATATCAGCATAGTTGTTCAAAGTAGGGTTTTATAATGCGAGTTAGGGTTAAGACTCAGAGACTCAAGACTCATTGGTGTTTTAGTGAACAGCTGTTCACTACTGTCAGCAAACTCGAATAATATCTTAAAGAAACCGCCTTCAGATCGATGTGTTTCAACAGAGAAGTGTTTTTACTGAATTTTCCTTTTTTTTTTAATGGATATGATCAATAGATGAATAGTAGTAAGTCCAATTCAAAGCAGCAGCTTTTTTTTGTCATGTAGTCCTGTCAGGTTCATTTATCAAAGAAAAGACCCAAATACTCTGCAGTTGTAAACAATACCTCAAGAATTCAGGAGCTTTGAATCTGTGTGTGTTTTAAAAAATAAATTAGTAATAATTGCAAATATATCATAAAATTCAACTTAATTTCAACATAATATAATATAATATAATATAATATAATATAATATAATATAATATAATATAATATAATATAATATAATATAATATAATATAATATAACATAATATAATTTAATATAATATAATAAAATATAATATAATATAATATAATATAATATAATATAATATAATATAATATAATAAAATATAATATAATATAATATAATATAATATAATATAATATAATATAATAAAATATAATATAATATAATATAATATAATAAAATATAATATAATATAATATAATTTAATATAATAAAATATAATATAATATAATATAATATAATATAATAAAATAAAATAAAATATAATATAATATAATATAATATAATATAATATAATATAATATAATATAATAAAATATAATATAATATAATATAATATAATATAATATAATATAATATAATATAATATAATATAATATAATATAATATAATATAATGTGTCAATTATTATTATTAACAATAAGTATTATTTCTTCTCCAAAAATACAAAAATGTCCCCTGTTTATTTTGTTTTTATTACAAATTATTACTCTATAATTACTAAAGATGATTAAAGTGTCGGAGTTTTAGAGAGTTTTATACTGCTAAATAACAGCCATTCAAATGTCTCAATTCATTAAACGAGCCTTAAATCTGTGTTTGACATCACACACACACACACCCAGGGATCAGCTCTTCAGGCTCAACAGGTGTCTATGACATCCTCATTGAGTTTCAATGTAAATGAGGAGCTGTGCCTGTGCAAAAGTGTGCATTTCTCAGGCGTGAGGTCACAGACATTCAATTTTCACTAAGATTATGCTGAACAAGCCCTTAACTGTGTGTTTTATGTGCTGGTAATCTTGGTAGACATTTTCCCAGTTAGCAGGAAAATAACAGCGCAGGTCTGTGAAATGGGACTGTCTGTATGATTTAAACTCACTTAGAGGCTGCATGTAAAACAGGGAAAACAAAGGCCCTGTTCCAAATCCAGCTGACTCTCTACAGCCTAAACAGAGAGCTGTCTTTATAGGCAGTATGCTATTCAAGGTGGAGCCTATTAGGGATTTATTAAGGGATTGATAAAGACTTGTTTTAATAGACTTTTAAGCATGGCTTATAACCAGCAATATGGCATTTTAAAAACATACATATTACACAAATGTATTATTTAATTATCTAGAGTATATTATTACTTCAATATTACAATCAGTCCCTTAACTACTGTTCTCTCATACTAATTCTAATTTAAATATAAATGTATACATAAAATTAATTTATTTAAACTTTCTATTGGTATTTTTCAGCACTGAATTATAATTCATCTGCCTGCATTTGTTAAGGAGGTTGATGCAATGCATTACTGAATTGAATTTGCATGAAAAATATTACATGCAAATTAAGTAAAAAATAACAGAGTGTGTGTGTGTGTGTGTGTGTGTGTGTGTGTGTACGTGTTTTTGTGACATATCAGGACACAAATCTGTATAATGACAAGGGTATGACACAGGTATTACAAAAAGGAGGTGAAATATGAGGACATTGGTGACATCCTCATTTCTCAAAATGCTTAAAAATCCTACAGAATGAGTTTAATCAAAGAGTAAAGCTGCACACAGTCTCCTGTGATGGTTGGGGTTAGGGGTAGGGTGGGGTGAGGGCAATATAATATACGGTTTGGACAGTATAAAATGAATGGAAACCTCACTTTTCACAAAAACAAACGTGTGTGTGTGTTTGTGTGTGGTTTTATGTTCACAGAAAGTACATTAAATGCAATCAAAGTGTCCACAGTAATGTTTCAATTAATCTTTAAAAAATAACAAATCATGAAGGAAATAATGATCCACTGTTATTCAACGTAACGTATATATTTATCTAATGAAACACTTATTTTTTCCTGTACTTTATTTAAATGATTATAATATTATATTCTATATTATTTTAAAGTTTAAATGATTAAAATATCCTACAAGGGTAAACCAACTGGTTGGATCAATAGTGGCAAAGTATACATATTAAATTTTAATAATATTTTGGGGCTGCACTTTGAAACAATCTTAAGTCATCAAAAAACTATTTTTATATTTATTCCTAGAGATTTTTTGGTACATAAACTATTGTAGCTGAGAAAATAAAATAAAAATAAAAACCGCCACAAAAATGAATGAGCCTCCATACCGCTCCACAAAGATGCCAGCCTGAACGGCGTGGACGATGCTGCGGAACCGGGGTTTCTCTTCGGGCCGCCTGCGCACCACTCCCATCTTCCTGGTAAAGGTGGAGGCCAGCCAGTCCCGCACCTCCATGGGTACAGAGTCCGCCTGGATGTCACTGAGCTCATCTTCAGTGTCCAGAAGCCTCCTGGGGAAAAACAGGCAGGGGATATTATTGCTCAGAGTGTACAGCACAGCACAGTCACACACTATAGATCTATCAATCAATCTATATATATATATATATATATATATATATATATATATATATATATATTCTGTATACACATATCACACACTCATACATTGTCAAAAAAACGTTTATTTTTTATTTTGGATGTGATTAATCACACTCTCTCAGCTGCAAAAATAGAGTAAAATTAGACCAAAAGTAGAGCAACAATTAAATGTTCAACATATTTATAAATGCAATTCGGTCCTGTGATGAGTAAACTGAATTTAAGTTTTTAATGACTTGTGACACTTGTTTCTTTTTAAGTATTATTTCCTACAATGTAAAAAGAGATTAGTTGACTTTACTTTAAAAAGAAGAGAGTAAACTCATTGCCTTATAAATATTACGTAAACAAACTATGTCTATACTTATAAGCCAATGGGTTTACTGCATTTTTGCAAGTAAAATTAACTTAATGCTTTTAAGCAGTTTTAAGCTTTTAACAGGTTTACTCACTTTTTTTTTTTTTTTTGCAAACATTTTGCAAATAGACTTTGCTACTCAACATTTTCTAGAAAAGGATGGGGAGAAATAGAAAAAAAAAGTAATACTTCTATTCAAAAATGAAGAATTAAATTGACCGAAAGTGAAAGTAAAGACATGTTATTATGCAAATAAATCTTGTTCTTTTGACATTTATATTCATCAATAAATTCAGATTTTTTTTTTTACAGCAATAATAGGCAGAAAAAACGCTTTCAATTCTGACAATAGAAACTAATAATAATATTTGAGCACCAAAGTGAAATACATCCAATAATAAATTACATTTGAAAATGCTTTTAAATACAAAACTTGAAGACTTGAGATGTAAAAACCTCTAAATGCTGTCTGAAAAATTCTTCTGAAATGAGCATTTGAATGAGACCCCTGTGTGTGGGTTAAGTAATTTCACTTTTCATGTACTTTTTACAGCTTTGATGGCCTAAAATTGAAACAACTTAATATAAACATAGAAGGCTGAGAGCAATGCTCATCTCTGACAGACATTTCAGACGGCACGACTGAACTCTTCACTTGTATACAATGAGAAACAACATTAAAAAATCCAATAAGTTCATCCATGGTAAACATAAGAGATCTATTAAAACATTGTAAAAAATCTTTGATTATTCTGCCTTATGCCCACTAGTGTAATGATAAATCCTCAGTGTAATCAGGACTAGAGAACTGGAAAACCCTCAGGAATCTGAAGCCTACACTCAAATGTGCGTCGGTGGTGTTACAATCATCACTGGAATGTGCAATAACTGATGTGTAATGATTAAAAACACTGTATTTAGGGGTTATATTTTTGGCATGTCTGTGGGTTGTAATAGGGTGAGCTTCACAAAACCTGTCAAGAATATGTCCCAGTCATATTTCACACCTAAGCCAAAAACAAAACATGTTCTTTCTTATAGGAAACAAAGGCTGTTTTAAAGAGCAATTAGCAATTTACATAAATGACCTGACTGATTATAATATATATTTTAAAAGAGTGATTTTTAATTATTTTTGATAAATATACAAGAATATAAGTACATGTATAAGTCAGAATATATAACTGATTATTAACATACCACTGAGAAAGTCTCAGTATTCATTGAATTTATTAACTGACTTTTCTAAAGCTCAGACAGGAATATAGTATTTACTTAACCACAGCACACCTATAAAGCAGAATGCAAGACAACTTATTTACTAATCAAATGACTTAGCATGCATCTTTATTAATTAAATTGGATTTTAATGACAGGCTGTATAAGTCAAGCTGTTCCTGTTTGTCATTACTACAAAAACTTCGTAAAACATCATGAAATAATATACACATTTGACGGGAGGGCTAATAATTTTGTTCTCAACTGTACATTGGATAATTAGCAATTAAGGCAATTGTTGAAAATTAATAAATATATATTTTTGACTACACTATTAAGAATACATTAAGAATATTGAACACAACATTATGAATAATGGAAAATAATAACACGTATTAATAATAATTAAAAGGACAGTTCACACAAAAATGACAATTCACTCACTATTTACTCACCCACAAGTGGTTCCAAACCTTTATGAGTTTATTTATGTTGAAAACATTCATTCATTCATTCATTCATTCATTCATTTTCTTTTCGGCTTATTCCCTTTATTAATCAGGGGTATGTTGAAAACTGAAGATATTTTTAAAAATGCTGAAAACCTGTAACCATTCACTTTCATACAAATACTATGAAAGTCAATGGTTACAGGTTTTCATTGTTCTTCAAAATATCTTCTTTTGTGTTTAATATAAAAAAGAATGTCAGACAGGTTTGGAACCATTTTTGGGTGAACTGTACTTTGAAGTATTTGGTGTATGAAATATAATAACACTGCTAGTAATTAAAGGAGTAGTTCACACAAAAATGACAATTTGCCAAATATTTACTCACCCTCAAGTGGTTCCAAACCTATATAAGTGTCCTTATTATGTTGAACACAAGAGAAGATATTTTGAAAAATGCTGAAAACCTGTAACCATTGAGTTCCATAGTAGGAAAAACAAAGACTATGGAAGTCAATGGTTACAGGCTTACAGTGTTCTTCAAAAAATCTTATTTTGTGCTCAAGAAGAAAGAAGGTCAAATGGGTTTGGAACAAGGGTAAAAGTATTATGACAGAATTTTCATTTTTGACTAAACTACCCCTTTAAGTAACAATATGAAAAATAATTACACTCCAAGTAACTATATACAGGTGAAGTCAGAATTATTAGCCCCCCTGAATTATTAGCGCCCCTGTTTATTTTTTCCCCCAATTTCTGTTCTGTTCTGGGAGGATTGTTTTAGCACATTTCTCATCATAATAGTTTTAAAAACTTATTTCTAATAACTGATTTATTTTATCTTTGCCATGATGAGAGTAAATAATATTTTACTGAATATTTTTCAAGACTTCTTAACTAGGTTAATAAGGTGAACTAGGCAGGTTAGGGTAATTAGTCAAGTTATTGTATAACGATGGTTTGTTCTGTAGATTATAGAGAAAAAAAAATTGCTTAAAGGGGCTAATAATTTTGTCCCAAAAATGGTTTTTAAAAAATTAATAACTGCTTTTATTCTAGCCAAAACAAAACAAATAAGTCTTTCTCCAGAAGAAGAAATATTATCAGACATACTGAGAAAATTTCATTGCTCTGTTAAAAATCATTTGGGAAATATTTAAAAAAGAAAATAAAAATCAAAAGGGGGCTAATAATTCTGACTTCAACAGTATATATATATATATATATATATATATATATATATATATATATATATATATATATATATATATATATATATATATATATTAGGGCTTGCATAGACTAGTCGACTAGTCGAGCGATCGACTACTTCAACCACTAGTTGGCGCTCTCAGAAGCAATCGACTACTGGAGCGTGCATTTACCACAAATGACATCAAAACGACAAATGTATCCAACAAACATCACGATCCAAGGTTAAAGCTTCCAACTACAACTGTATATTTTATTATAAAAATATTTTATTTATTATTTTAACATATAGTTTTATTTATTTATTTAAACAATTTATTTATAATTTTTTTAAAATTTATTTTCTGTTTGGCTGCATATAGACTATTGTCGCTTGTTGAACTATTTATTTTCTGAAACAAAATAAATTTCATTCTTGTTATCAATGCTGGAAACTTAAATATTAGAGTTATTTTTTTAAATCAGACTACTTGTTTTACAGACTATTACTTGCACGCACATGATTGTTTGCATAATCTTCAGGCCGGTTTAAGTAATATATTCGTTCATTTTGTTATTTTAGTAACTGTTGAAATGTAGTAGAAATTAAATGATTGAATGAGATTTAGCCTAGCTCAGAATATTTTTATTAATCTTTTAATTAGTTTTATGAATACTGCGTTATGAGTATGAGTTTTCAGGACGCATTTTAGGTTTCTGGTGTGGCTACTTTTGCTTTCTATAGCCTACATTAAATGTATAATTAAAATGCAATAATTAGCCTAGCTTTTTTCTTTTTTTTCATGTGTATTATAAATATTTCATTTAGGTATTTTCAATTTCAACTTTTTATTTATGCATTATTTATTTTTATTTATTTATTTATTTAATTTTTTTTTAAGTTTCACTTAGTTCTCATTAAATAAAATAATAAAGTTACTTTAATAACTCAAAGTATTACGGTATGAACATGAGTTTGCTTCGCATATACAGCAAGCTTATGACGCAGATGTTAAATGACAATGTTGCATGCAGCTTTTTATTTTTATATTATACTGTAACATAAAAAAGTAATATAATGTTTATGTTTTGACAATTTACGTTAGCACTATGAAATCAATACATTCGGCTATGACTTAATAAAGCGTAATGAAAATGATTTCTTTGTGACTTTTTAACTAGTAGCTTGAACCACAGGTAGTCGAGCAAACCGAGTATTGTTTATATATATATATATATATATATATATATATATATATATATATATATATATATATATATATATATATATATATATAGAAGTCAGAATTATTATCCCCCTTTTGATTTTGATTTTCTTTTTTAAATATTTCCCAAATGATGTTTAACAGGGCAATGGCATTTTCACAGTATGTCTGATAATATTTTTTCTTCTGGAGAAAGTCTTATTTGTTTTATTTCGGCAAGAATAAAAGTAGTTATTATTTTGTAAAAAAAAATATTTTTAAGACAAAATTATCAGCCCCTTTAAGCTAATTTTTTTATTTGATAGTCTACAGAACAAACCATCATCATACAATAACTTGCCTAATTAACCTAACCTGCCTAGTTCACCTAGTTAAGCCTTTAAATGTCACTTTAAGCTGTATAGAAGTGTCTTGAAAAATATCTAGTCAAATATTATTTACTGTCATCATGACAAAGACAAAATAAATCTGTTATTAGAAATGAGTTTTTAAAACTAATATGCTGAAACAATCTTCCCTCCATTAAACAGAAATTGGGGAAAAAAATAAACAGGGGCGCTAATAATACAGGGGGGCTAATACGTCTGACTTTAACTGTATATATATTTATAATTTTTTGTGTTTGGCCATCAAACACTGTAAAAATATAATAACAAAAAGTTACGACAAATATTTTTTTTGTTGTTTTAACTGATTTTAATAAGTTAATCAGGTTTCTAAATTGTTTTTATAAATACTGTATACAAAGAGTGGCGACGCAGTTTCGCAGTAGGTAGTGCTGTGCCCACACAGCAAGAAGGTCGCTGGTTCGAGCCTCTGCATTTTTGTGTGGAGTTTGCATGTTCTCCCTGCGTTCACGTGGGTTTTCTCCGGGTGCTCCAGTTTCCCTCACAGTTCAAAGACATGCGGTACAGGTGAATTGGGTAGGCTAAATTGTCTGTATGCATGTGTGTGTGTGTGTGTGTGTGTGTGTGTGAATGAGTGTGTGGATGTTTCCCAGGGATGGGTTGCAGCTGGAAGGGCATCCACTGCGTAAAACATATGCTGGATAAGTTGGCGGTTCATGGTGACCTCTGATTAATAAAGGGACAAAGCCGAAAAGAAAATGAATGAATGAACGAATGAAAATTCAGAATTTTAAAAAATGCCTTTCCAAAATTCAAAATGACTTCCACTATATACCCTATATAGTGTCTACTACTGTACTGTATATACCCAGTCCACTCAAGCACACCTGCGTGATGTTCAGCACTGAAGGTGATGTTTATGAGCACATGCAGACAGAAAGCAAAAGGCAAAAAAAGCGTCTCCTCAGCCTCTCGCTCATTTTCTCTTCATTTCATGACTCATCCTGCCCTCGCTCTATCTCTGAGAAAGCCAACATTCAACACTCAAGTACCTTAAGCAACTGGCATACGATTAAATAAATGCACTTTTCTTTCCCTGAGAAATGAATGCAGCAATGAGAATAGCGACTGTTATTGCTCGGTCTTACGCAGGCAGCAGGAAATGCGGCATGTTATCATAACAAATATTCGCCGACTTCCAGTAACAAGCTAAAATTGCTCAAAGCTGCTGCCATGGCAATACATCCTGTGCCTGTCATTAGGAAAACGTAATTAGCCGTAGCCCAGGCTGTCTAAACACCAGCCCATCAGCTAGCGGGAGGACGCTAGCTCTGCGTAAACGGCACAACAGAGCCGCGGGTCTCGGTTAATTGGGATCGAGGGCCCGCGGGACTTCCGGAGGGAGCAGGAGGATGAACGTGAATACTCTCAGCACATTTTACTTTAGACGAACAGCAAAACGCCTCCTGATAACAGCTGGAGATGGAGATGAGGACGCTTAAAGAGTGGACTAGGGGAAAAACACTTCAGAGGGAGAGCACTTTAATGCAGTTGTGTCTCAACGCATAATAAACTGAGATTTACAGGGAGAGTGAATCAAGCATGAAAAATGTAAAATATTCATATTTGTAGTGTGTAGAAGTAACAGAAACTGGGATTATAAAAAAATAATGATAAAATAAAATAAAATAAAATAAAAAATGGGAAGAAAAAGATCATAAAAAATACTGGGATTTTGTAAAAAAAAATTACAAAAATAAAATAAAAAAAGATAAAATAAAATGAAATAAAACAAAACAAAACAAAACAAATAAATAAATAAATAAAAAATAGGAAGAAAAAGATCATAAAAATACTGGGATTTTGTTAAAAAAAATTACAAAAATAAAATAAAATAAAATGAAATAAAACAAAACAAAATAAAAAAATAAAATAAAATAAAAAATAGGAAGGAAACGATCATAAAAAAATGGGATTTTGTTAAAAAATTACTAAAATAAAATAAAATAAAATAAAACAAAACAAAATAAAATAAAATAATAAAATAAAAAAATAGGAAGAAAAAGATCATAAAAAATGGGATTTTGTTTAAGAAAATTACTAAAATAAAACAAAATAAAATAAAATAAAATAAAAAATAGGAAGAAAAAGATCATAAAAATACTGTGATTTTGTTAAAAAATACAAAAAATAAAATAAAATTAAATAAAATTAAATTAAATTAAATAAAATTAAATAAAAAATAGGAAGAAAAAGATCATAAAAAACTGGGATTTTGTTAAAGAAAATTACTAAAATAAAACAAAATAAAATAAAATAAAAAATAGGAAGAAAAAGATCATAAAAATACTGGGATTTTGTTAAAAAATACAAAAATAAAATAAAATAAAATAAAATAAAATAAAATAAAATAAAAAATAGGAAGAAAAAGATCATAAAAATACTGGGATTTTGTTAAAAAAATACAAAAATAAATAAAATAAAATAAAATAAAAAATAGAAAGAAAAAGATCATAAAAATACTGGGATTTTGTTAAAAAATACAAAAATAAAATAAAATAAAATAAAATAAAATAAAATAAAATAAAATAAAATAAAACAAAACAAAATAAAACAAAATAAAATAAAATAAAATAAAATAAAATAAAATAAAATAAAATAAAATAAAATAAAATAAAATAAAAAAATATGAAGAAAAATATCATAAAAAACTGGGATTTTGTTAAAAAAAATTTGGTGGGCGTGGTGTATGACAAAGTTTAAGTCGACGTCATGCTCGCTCGAATAAATGTCTACAGTAAAGCTATACGGGTCGTTCACATATCATAATGAGAAGCACTTCTCACAAAACAGATGCTTTATACACATAAATACTTGTTTATAAATGTTTATTACTAACTTTTCTATGAACATGATTTGATTAAGAAAATATGGCAGTTCCTTTGTTTACGTTCTGTGTAGCTCCACGAGCTCGTGACGTATCTCTGTAACCAATCAGCGTTCAGCTGCATGTGTAGCTCCATCTTTTGGTACCCTTTCTCCCGTTTGGTACTCTTCCGAAAGGGTGTCGAAAAAGTGGTACGCTACGGTTTGGTTCGGTACAATTTTGACAGTGGAAACGGCCATAAAAGCGTACCAAACCGAACCGTACAGTACCGTACCACTCAGTCTAAACGGGCCATAAGTATTGTTCATTCTTATTTTATGTTAGTGAATGCATTATTTAACATTAACCAATAAATCTGTATTGTGATGTGTGACCATTTATAGAAATACACATTTTTTATGAGCAGAAGTCACTTAAAAAAATAAAGTTGAGCATTTTGATTTTGTCAAGTCTAATGTGGTCTAAAAAACTCAGAGCATCATTTGTTTTCCACTTTTTAAGTTGGCAACCCATATGCCAGACTGCAAAGAGTCGAATGTTCACTTACCTTGTTTCGTCGATGTACACAGCCTCCAAAACTGATGCGGCATATTCAATGTTTTTCCTCAGATCTACGACATTTACCTCCCCTTTATCCAGCTGCTTCACCAGACATCTCAATCTGCAGAAAAACAACAGACAGAGCTTCACTTCATCTGATCTCAAACCACTGATGTTTTTTACATTGACCTTCCACTGCCGGTGACAGAAACACTCAACATCATCAATCATTCAGCCTCAAATAAGTCCAAATTTGTATCATTTTTCCATGTTTTGCTGGTGAAACATAAATAGATGTGTTTGGGATTTTGACTCCAAATCAAAATCTGTTTGGTTTAGAATGACACAAGGATGTGTAAATGATGATAAAAATGTCCGCCGTTGTGTGAAAGCCATAAAAGATAATGCAAAGCTACCCATGACACAGGAGAACAATCTGCTTTATGAAAGAAATTAAATGGATAAATGAGACAGACGCTGCCAATTTCACACCCACCGGAAAACAAAGAGCGCTGAATATATATCATATAAAAGATTACAGTTCATCAGCATCTTAATCATCAAATCTCATGAGCCAAAACACTACGCTCGGTTAATCTCTCATGGCACTCACAGTAAGACAATCTTTATTTTTTAATAAGCAAAGAAAATCTCTTGGCAGATTTAAAGTAAGGTAACCCCGTAAATATGTAGGTCAAAAATAACCAAGTTAACATTTGACCGTAATAAATTACATGTAATCTAATCACACACATTTTATTTTATTTTTACAAAATTCCTCTTATAGCTCTGCAAAATAAATAAATAAATAAAAATTAAATAAGTAACCAATAATAAAATAATAAAAATAAATAATAAAATAAAAGTAAATAAATAAATTAATTAATATTTTTATAAAATAATAATAAAATAATATAATGATAAAAATAAAATAAAAATAGTTAAATAAATAAATAAAAATAAAATATTGATAAAATAATAATAAAAATAAAATGAATAAAATAAATAAATGAAAAATACAATATTAATAAAATAATATTTAAAATGAAAAATAAAATAATATTAAATAAAATTAGTTAATTAATTGAAATAATTAAATAAATAAATGTTAATTATTAATAAAATAACAATAATAATAATAATAATAATAATATGATAAAAAATACATAAAAATTATTAAAGAAATAAAAATAAAATAAAATAATAATATTAAATAAAATAAAACAAACAAGAAATTTTTTATAATAAATATAATAAAATATTCATGCTATATACACAATATATATTTAAGTAATTTTGCTTTTCAGTTTAATATTTTCTTTAAGGTAAACATTTGAGATATGATTGCTTTTTTTTTTTTCACCTTTAAATAATCACTAGTGAGTGAATTGTTCCTAAATATGTATCAGAATCAGCCGTCTGTTAGCAAATAGGGACAAATTTCACCAGAAATAGATGAAATACAAATTTATTCTGACAAAACTGCTGTACAGTACCACCCACTGCCCTGTCAATCACACAATAAACCAAAATAAGTGTACAGTTGAAGTCATCCTGTGTCATTTTATTTATTTCTCAAGCATTTGTTAAGTGAAGTTTAAAAAAAAGATTTTTTGAACACACTTTTAAACATGTTTTTTAATAACTACTTTACTTTAACCCATTTATTTTGTCTTTGCCAATTTACAGGCTTAAAGGTGCAGTAGGTGATCTACCCATGTGCTAACCGGTTAGCATAATATCTTTCAAATACAATCCCTGCTCTGCCGTCCAAAGCCAGGCCTCCTGAAATTATGAACGCACTGATGAGATGTTAAACTGACTTTCTGTGGCCGTTATAAATCCCAGGATGTCCTTTGAAAAAGGGTATGGGTTTAACAGGCCTCAATCCATCATGGCCTCCTAAACATCCCCATATGATAGTTGGCTTCATCACTCTTTCCCTTTTCCGCCAATCAGCTGGTGTGTGGTCTGGTGCAATATGGCTGCCGTCGTGTCATCCAGGTAGATGCTGCACACTGGTGATGAATGAGGAGATTCCCCTAAAAATGTCTAAAGCGCTTTGAATTTCCAGAAAAGCAACTGTATACATTTGAAAAATTATTTGTTTTATTATTATTATTTTATTATTATTATAACTTATCACAAATAAGAAAATAAGTGAAAAAGAATAAAAATGATGACAGAAGGTCTAAATCATGTTGCCTTCAACTGTATCTACCCTTTGGTTAGCATGAGTTGCCCACTAAATGAGTAAGAAACACTTCTGTTAATCAGATAAGCAGGTACAGGCTGATCTCAAAATGGTCAAATCTTCTGATTAATGTCTGCCTTCAATCACACAGCAGCTTTTCTGTTTATGACAGTGGTTTGTAACATGGCAACTTGAAGAAACACCTCTTCATCAGCGTGTTATTGACAGATAACACGTCCACATAAACTCAAATAGGCTAAGGCTCTCTGCCACACAAACGCCATGACAGGAGGACAGACTAACAACTGCAGGATCACAAACAGCAAAGATAAACCCACTGCATAAAAAACAGACTGAAACCAGCACTTATTATGAAGCATGTTGTTGTTTTTTTTCTCTCCTGAAGTCTAACTTGACATCATCTTCAAGCTATTCCCAATTCCTGTCACGATAGGATCTGAAATGATGTCTGAAGTTGATTGTCGTCTGTGGTGGATCAGAATGACATCTGATGCGAAAATGAAGCAAATGTTCACAAATTGGCACTCGATGCCAAATTGTCATTCTTGCATTCACTGCAATTTGTCTGTCAAGTATGTGACCGGAAAGAATGAATTGCCTTGGGGAGATACTGAAAACCTGATATTCCTATCGCGGCTCTTTTAATGTCAAGCTTTTGCCAAATTAGGGGACTTTATCATCTCAAATTGAGAGCAGAGGTACAAAATGCTTCATGACACAGCAAAAGAGCTGAATAATAATGACAGAACATGTGGATTTCACTGCCAGGGGAAATATTATTGCTTAGAAGTGTTTCTTTTATTGCTCGTTCCAAAAGTAAGTTCCCAATAATTTCAGTTGTTTCTTCAAAAAATTCCAGAGGACTTAATGCAAATGAGATTGTTGAGAACCCTAAGCCAGAGTATGCTAATTTTTTTTCTTTATCTAGTCATTTTATTGTACAAACGTGCAGTGTCGAGAATATATATTACAATTCTGAGGAATACAAGGAAGACAAGGAAGTCAGAATTGCACTCTAAAAAAGGCTGGGTTGTTTTAACCCAACGCAGCAGGCACACAACAACAGAAGAAGTTAATATTAGGTTAGATTTAGGTCATGATATCAGGGCCCAGTTTTTCCAAAACTTTAATCTGGATTAAACTGGTCTAGATTTGTAAATCCCATGTTTTGAAATCCAGGATTAACTGATCTATCTTAGTTTTATGACAGTTTGTCAAAGGAACATTAGGCTGGATCACTGTGATCCAAATTCCAAATTTCAGGATTACCGAATCCTGTTTAACCGAGCCTTAAATATAACCAACAGTGTAGCATACTGGCTTAGCAAAGAACAACAGGTAGGCAAAATACCATTGGGGGGTGGACCAAATAGATCCCGATTTGAGTTCAAAGTTTTAAATAACCCAAAGGACAGGTTTAATCCAAATCAAATGTAAGATTACATGGTCTGATCTCAATTCAAAGGGCTTAGTTTTAACGATCTAGGCACAAAGTCTAAAGCGGAGGGCGCAAAAGCTTTAAGGGCATGTCTGAATCCACTTTTGCTATTTTAAGGATGGAAAAATATGCTCTGCGGTGTGGAGCATTGTCTAATAGGTTTGAGCTTATTCTCCTAACGAGTTATGGGTGCGTTTTGAGAATAAACCAATCAAAGTATCTTCTCCCATTCCCTTTAAGAATCAGTTGCGTCGCGCCATGGCACATTTGCTATTTGTAAGTGCAAAAACTGAACGCTTCACTAGCGAAAAAACAGTTAAACAGACCATCTGCAGCGCAAGGATAAAGAATGAGCCTTCTCCAATCGGCCTTAACTTTCTCTTTCTCTCTTTCATGGATAAGGAAACGGAGTTGTATGCACAGACATTCATTAGCCTATTTAATTAATTTAATTTGTTAAGCTCAAATATTTGTTTCAAAACTATTTCTAAATTCAGTTCTAATTTCCAGCAAACTAATAAATGAACAATAATAACAAAGTGTGGTAAAAAGTCTGAAAATAGCAACACGTCGGGGCAAACATTTCAATTTTTAAGTCGCTTTGGATAAAAGCGTCTGCTAAATGACTAAATGCAAATGTAAATGCAAACTCGTCTTGCGCCTTATAGCGCCAGGTGTATGATAGGGCCCAAAATCCCTCTGTTACTTTTGAAAAACCTATTTCCAAAATTTGATTCAATCCGTGATCCAAAATCCCATGGATTACTTTTGAAAAACTGGGCACAATTGACCAAAATTCAATGTCTACCCAGCGTCTAAGGACAACATTGCTTTGACGTCCAGTAAAGACATGATGTTGATATTTGGTTAATTTTAGGTTGTGCTGGAAAATGACCAGAATCCAACATCGAGCCAACATCTTAAAGCAACTGATGTCAAATGCTGACATTTATTCGTCAGATATGGAAACTAAAATCCAATCTCTGATAGACGACATAGTGGTAATGTTCACACAACATCAAACTGTAACATCATTAGATGCTGATTTTTTTCGTTGATTTTAGGTTGAACATTGGACATTGACGTCAACCTGATTTTCATTTCCAAACAAAATGCAACGTCCCCACAATATTGAGGTACAACGTACAACGTCACGTTGACGTCCTGTCCCTGCTGGGAATGTTGAGTCAAATAGGGACAAACCCAAAAGTTGAATATAACAACTGCAAAAAATATACATAAATTAAATAAAACATGTACATAATATATAAATTTAAATCTATTTAAAGCTGAAAAACTGTCCCTACTTCAGAAATCTCAAAATACCTCGCAAATATAAACGTATTCAGATTTATCAAACTCAAAATTGTGAGAAAAGGTCAGAATAGTAAGATATAGAAAAAGAATAGTATGATTGAAAATCAAAATTGCATTTATATTTTACTTTTATAGCATGGACCGAAGTTAT